GGCTGGGGCAGAGGGTTGGGGCGCGGAAGGGGGTCGGGGTGAGGTAAGCAGCGCTTACCTCAAGCAGCTCCCGGAAGCAGCGGCATGTCCATTAAAAGTCTGGTCAGCGGTGCAGCGGGGCTAAGCCAGGCAACCCTGTATATCGTGGCTCTGTGCGGCTCCCGGAGGCAGCAGCATGTCTCCCCTCTGGCTTCTTCGTGTGGAGGCGCTGCTCCATCCGCAGGCGCTGCCCCCACAGCTCCCATTGGCCGTGTAGGAGCCGGAGGGAGACATGCCACTACTTCCGGGAGCCACACAGAGCCACGGTAGGCAAGGAGCCTACCTTAGCCCCGCTGCACCGCTGACCAGACTTTTAACAGCCCAGTCAGCAGTGCTGACTGGAGTGGCCAGGGTCCCTTTTCGACTGGGCGTTCCGGTCGAAAACCAGACACCTGGCAACCCTAGTTCCCCCGTTGTAGAATGGGGATAATAACTTCATTTATCCCACCTTTTGTCTATTTATTTGACTTAAATGGAGATTGGCTCAGACCCTTGGATTGGAAGTTTTTCAGGGCAGGGACAAGCCTCACATAGCCTTTCATCATATGTTTGTAGAGCGCCTAGCACCAGGGGGCACGAATCTCTGTTGGAGTCTCTTGGCAGTACTGTGAAAAATAATAGTAATAGTGGGATGCTATTTTCTAGACTTGAAGGCTCTATGGGTATCTACCATCACAGCAGTATGACTGGTGTCACTGGCAACAGGTGATTCCCAGGAAGACATAAAAGATGCTGGATCTATCCTGAAATAAACTCACACCCTCTCCCATAAAAGAAGAAAGAAACAGGGAGTGGAAAAGGAAAGGTACACTTCTTTATAACCTCAGACCACAGACAAACCCTGTGCAGCCCAGAGGTTTAAATACCACAGAAATCCAGTGTGGAGACACCATCTTAAATGAAAGAGGATGGAACTGTGGTGAGAACCTTTAAAAAGCACTTTCCAACCCCTATTATTAAGCAGCAGTTGCGGGAGGCAGTGTTATTAAAAAGCAGATTGGAACATTTTGATGGGAAAGGGGTAATTCAAAATGAAATTAACATTGCTCAGACTCCAGCCCTAGCTCCCTATTGGCTGAATTCTAGGCAATTGCTAGGAAGAGAAAAAGATGTGGAGAACATTTTTTAGTTCCCCCTCCCTCAACTGCTTATTTTAGGTTTTGTCATATGGGTGCAGCCCCCAGAGACTAACTGACACTGCACGATACAATTCAACTTGAAGTTTTAATTTTAAGACAGATAAAACGAGTAAGGAGTGGTGCTGAATAATAAAATCACTTCAATTGCACTTTGGAGGACTGGATTAGAATTCAAAATGACCTGGACAAATTGGAGAATTGATCTAAAATCAACAAGATGAAATTCAATAAAGACAAGTCTTTAAACCATCATTTGAGAACTTCAGTGACTCAGACAGAGGTTAGGGGTCTATTTCAGGTGTGGGTGAGAGTTTGTGGCCTGCAAATCGCAGGAGATCAGACAGATGATCACGATGGTCCCTTCTGACCTTTAAGTCTATGAGTAAGTGCAAGTACTTCACTTAGGGAGGAAAAATCAAATGCACAGCTATAAAATGGGGACCCAACTAGCTAAGTGGTGGTACTGCTGACAAGGATCTGGGGGTTATATTGAATCACAAATTGAATCTGAGTCAACAGTGGGATGCAGCTGCGAAAAAGGTTAATATTATTCTGGGGTGTATTAACAGGAGTGTCGTATATAAGACACGGGAGGTAATTGTCCCGCTCTATTCAGCACTGGTGAGGCCTCAGCGGGAGTACTGTGTCCAATTCTGAGCTCCGCACTTTAGGAAAGATCTGGACAAATTGGAGACAGTCCAGAGGAGAGCAACTGAAATGATAAAAGGTTTAGAAATCCTGACCTGTGAGGAAAGGTTAAAAAACTGGGCATGTTTAGTCTTGAGAAAAGAAAATTGGGAGGGGGGACCTGATAATAGTCTTCAAATATGTAAAGGGCTGTTATCAAGAGGATGGTGATCAATTGTTCTCCATGTCCACTGAAGGTAGGACAAGAAGAATGGGTTTAATCTGCAGCAAGGAAGATTTCAGTTAGATTTTTAGGAAAAATTCTCTAACTCTAAGGGGAGTTAAGCTCTCCAAGGGAGGTTGTGGAATCCCTGTCATTGGAGGATTTTAAAAACAGGTGGGACAATCACCTGTCAGGGATGGTCTTGGTCCTGCCACAGCGCAGGGGGCTGGACTTGATGACTTCTCGAGGTCCCTTCCACCCCAACATTTCTATGGTTCTGCGATTAATACTAGAGGGGGGTCTGTGAATTAGAGAGATTAGAAGGGTGGATGGAATATTGTTTTAGTTTATAAAAATGGATCATTGCGGTTCATGTCTTTCTGAGCCCTGATCTGCTGGCACGGAGTATTGCCTCGGAGCCAGGGAAAAAGTATGAGAAAGAATCGGCTTTGCAACTGGCAGAAGAAAGGATAATGTAAGTTGGAAGAGGAAGGGGTCCCTGCTGATGGGTTGAATATTTTCTAGTGCATTGTTAGGGAGGGAGGAGGGATGGTAGCCTTGGATTACAGAATGAAAGGATAGAAAAGAACCTCAGTAGCACAGGATGTTTGTCGAGGGTCCTATTTCTGTCTCTGCCAATTGGTCTTATATCTCGAAATTGCACAAAATCCCCCATCAAAGGGGCTTTTCATGTGAGCGGTGTGAGAAATTGCAGGCTTTGCTTTTGGCACGTCATGGT